GTGGTTTATTCTCATTATCAACTCCCTCACCTCTTCAAGTCTGCTCAAAATTTATCTTCTCAATAAGACCTTTCCTGACCTATAAAAAATTTAAATCCTGCATTCCTATCTCCCTTATTTTGCTCTACTCCCCTGCCCTCCCCCACAGACTTCTAATATCCATACAATTTGCTTATTTATATTTAATTTTTATTTTACTTCCCACTCTAGAATGTAAACTCCATAAAGATTTCTTGTCTTTTTCTCTTGTTTCTTTTCGACATGTTCCAAATGTCTAGCACATGAGAGGAGGAATTCAATAAATATCTGCTGAATGAACGAAAAGCTCCGTCTGGGTTTTCCCCAGTATATTCCAAACTAATCAATTTCTGTGGAATTACAGTTTAGATCATATAAAATCTAAGATGAAGAATGGAGCACCATAAACCAAGTAGGATCTCATATTTTTTTTTTTTTTTAAAGATTTATTTATTTATTTATACAAGCACTGGGTACAGTCAGAAGTGCGGGAGGGTGAGAGAATTCACCAGAGCCAGAGCAGGGAGCAGAGCAGGCACAAGGACCGAAGTACACTGCTGAGGGGAGCAGCGGGCGTCAGGAGAGGTCTGCGCGCCATGTGGGACCCTCCTCCGGTAGCTGGGGATCGAACCGGCGCTGCAGAGGCTGCGGGCAGCTTCACAACCCAGCGCTCAACCGCTGTGCCACCGGGGAGGCCCAGGATCTCATATTTTTTGAAAGAATGTTGAATGAATGCTTTCAGATTTTTTTTAAAAGGCCATATTTAATTTGGAATCAAAAAAGTGCTTCTCATCATTTTTATTATTGTTTCTTTTAAAACTTCCATTGAAGTAACTTTGGCTTATACATTATAGAGGTTAAACGTGTACATCTTTATAAATCAATATCTGTATATTCTGCCTTATGCTAATTCTGTCTTTCACCATACATTCGATCTCTTTTACCTGATTTACCCATTTCCCTTGCTCGTTCTGGTAATCACATATTATAGTTTTTTAAATATACAGTTAATCTTGTTTTCTTTCTTTTTACTGAAAAAGATTTTTAAGAGCTAATAATAGGCAGTAGGAGCTGCATCAGAGAAAAGACCATGTCTGTGTTTAACCTGGTGTCAGCTAACGGCTAGCCCTCTTCCTAGTATTTAGCAGGTGCTGAATAAATACTTTAGGAATGAACGAATGACCTACCCAGTGACCCTCTGCTGTCAAGGGAAGGTTAGTCAGTACCACGCTGTAGTGGAAGAAGGCAGAACTTGAATCATTAAGGGGGTGAGCCCCATTCCTGGTTCTACCATCTGGCAAAATGTGACAACTTCCCTGGGCCCATATCTTTATCTGGTAAGTAAGGCAATGAAACTAGATGATCCAGTTCACTTTAACTAGATGATGTACTCCATGAGATAAGGGAATGCCTCGGCCTTGTCACTGATGTGAAAACAAAGCCTAGATCAGTATGTCTTGTTAACCTTTAATAAGAGAACAGTAAGGTTAGTGATAAGCCAAATGGATTTATTTGGGAATAGTAGAGAATTGCAAGCCGGACAGCACAGGGCCAAGTTAGAAACCCAAACCTCTTGAGGAGAGACAAAGAAACCCAAACCTCTTGAGGAGCGACAAAGAGGGTGTGCCTGTGTGTGTGTGTGTGTGTGTGTGTGTGTGTGTGTGTGTAGGGGGGCAGGGAGTTACAAAGAAAAAAAGAATGAGGCACTGAAGGATGAGGTAATTGTCAGATACAAGAGTCATAGGTAAAAAGGTCAGGTGAAATGGTCACAAGGAAAAGTAGGTAAAAGTTCCTCTTACTCAGTTCTTTCAAACAGGATATTCTCACTCTTGTTGGCTTCTTGGATGTTGGTCATGTGGCCCAATCCAAGGTGAAATCCAGCTTAGAGAGGGCCAGTAAAGAGACCTTTTCTGTAGTGTTTCCCTGGCCCTACTTTTAATATGGCTGTAGTATGTCACTTTTCAGAGTCTGGCACACAACAGACCCTCCAGAATCTGTGAAAAGATTTCTAAAAATTCGTTCCAATGCTAGCATTTGAAGGAAAAATAACTTTGAGGTAACCTAAATTAATCATTCATTCTCTAGATAAAGCCATATACAGATTATGGTCCTCTTTGAAATCCCCTAGAACATGAAGAGTACAAATTAAAAAAAAAAAAAAAAAAACACCTGTTTCCTATTGGTGAGTTGGTTACCAGTTATACATTTTCACCCTGGCCTCTTGGGTTCTTTAGTCATATTTATAGAATCACTTCTATATTTAGCTCTTGATTTGAAACCTTCAGGGCTGGGTATGAGAATACTAACCTGCTAAGGAACTATATACTTACATTGCACAATTGCTTACTGTTTGCAGTGTCGTTAGCGTGCCTTCCCTGCCATTAATGTAGTTTCAGAGGCAGGACGACCTCTCTCCATTCCCCAGACCCTGTTCTCACCCGACTTCACCTCCCTCCCTCTCCTACCCCGGGGTCTCTCTAAGCTGCTACAACGTTGGGAAAGCTTGAGGAGATGCTGGAGCTGCGCTCTGCGCCTCCCGGCAGCGCCGAGCAAGCAAAGCACCTTCCCTGCCGGGTCCTGGGACCTGCCAGCCTTCCAAACCACGCTAGAAACGCGCCTTCATGTTGGAAGGAAATCATCTTTTCTCCGTAAATTAAGGCCCGCCGGTGGGGAGTAATCCCAGTGTTTACACTTGTTTTCCAGCCCCGTCGGTGCCGCAGGACTTGATTGGTTCCCTCGCGCCCCCGACGCTGGGGATCCCCTCCCTCCACGCCCCGCCCGGACCCCGCCCCTCGCCGGGCCCTGCGCTGGGCCGTGGGCCTCGCAGCCTCTCGCCGGGCCCGCTCGCCTCGCCGCCGCCCTGCCCGCCCCCCCGCCGGCTCCGCCCCTCTCCCCTGCCCCCGCCCGGGGCTCGAGTCCTCCCTGGCCGTTGCCAGGGATACCAGCCGATACCAGGCAAATAGGCATTCGAGAAAGAAAAGGGGGGAAAGCTACACGGCAGGCTGGTAACAAAGGAGCAATAAAAGCAACCCCCAAATGGAAGGCTAAGGACGCGTCTGCGAGAAAATCCGAAAGCGAGCTAGCAGTCATCCCAAATTAAAACCGGGAGAGGGCTGCAGAGGAAGGGGCATGTTCACGTTGAGGGTGGGGGGAATTAACAGCCTTCAATGAGCTGGAATCGCCTGGACGACGGTGTTGGAGGAGCCCAGCTGGCTGTTGAAGTTGGAGCTCCGCGAATGCAAGGGATTCTGTCCACCGCGGCGGCCGGGGTCGTGGGCCAGGCCATCCGGCTCCCCCCAAGGGTGATCATGCTTTTGGCAAAATAAACTTCTGCGGAAACGTCTTTCCATCCGCTCTGGGGAATATTGACTTCGTGACTGAGTGATGGTCCTCGAAGAAGTGGACGGTGGAAAGACGACGCTGCGCGTAATGATGTGCAACTTGATTTTCAAAGCAATACTTGAACAAAGAGTTATTGGCTTGAAGCAACCATCTTTCTCACTCAGAGGGTGGCCCATGTCCCTACAATGAGCAGAAAATAAAACAGAATTTAGAGCCAGTGCCAGGAGAAATGAACGTTTCCCTCGACTGCTTCTCACCTCCATAAGCGAGAGATTATTCATTTCAGGATCACTGCATGTAAACCAGAAAAGGTGGTCTGATTTGGACAAGAGTCAGAACTTTGCAAGGAGAAATGTAGGTGTAGGCGAATGTTTACTAGGCTGCATCTTTAAATTTTGTCCCCTAGTTGCTTTAATCAGTGCCTTGTCTTTCAAACACAAATAGCGTCCGGTGCTTGGATGGCAAGGGATACAGTGGCTGGTGGCGGAGGCCCGACCCCCTTAGCGAAGCCTTTTCTCTAACCCAAGTTACACTTGGAGCGTTCAAGGACCTTCTTGCTATCTCTCAACATGCAAACAATTTCTCCTCAGAGCTGTAAGCGTCAGTCCGGTTGTTGAGCATTTCCTCGGCGCTGCCTGCCTGCCTCCCTTGCAGGAGCACACTCGAATGCGTGCATCTCCCACCCGTTCAGAGAGCGTCCGATCCCGGCAGCAGCCTGAAAGCGGATCCATATTGTGGCGCTCTGCATCCCAACTGCAAATATGGATTCGAACACTCCAAGCCCTGTTTCATTTCTCCGTAGAGGAAAACTGTCATTTCACACAATGATAAAATGCGAGCCGTCTCGACCTTTTTGTAAAAGGTCCTCACTTTATATTGTGGGGGGCAAAAAAAGCACCAATTGGGAATTGGGAATAGTGCTGGGGGAGGGGGGGCGGGGGCTGTTGAGCGCCGCAGGCTAATCTCAAAATATTTTATTTCATGCCAGTGTGGGCTAGAAAAGGGAGTGTGGCTAGGGCTGCTTGCCGCCTTTGCATTTTCCACATCTGGCCTACAGACCTAATTCCAACTCACGATCGCGTTGGATGAAATTCGATCTTCCTGGTTTAAATACCTTTCAATTTGAGGCGATTTAACATTTGCAACCGTTAAAACACACACACACACCCCAAAACAAAACCCTGTGCAGTATCTGTGAAACCAACATGGAACACGGAGAAGGAAAACATGCAGGACACAATTCCCAACCATTGTCTTTCACACACACACACACACACACACACACACACACACGGGGACATGGGGGAGGGGAGCGAGTGGGGAGAGACACACACGGGTCCAGACAGACGCCAGCCCCAGCGAGTCAAGTTAACGCTTTCTCCGCCCCCATGCACGGGTCGCCCCCTCCCGCGTTAATTAATTACAAACAAAGCAAGCCAATCGCGTGATGCATTATTATTTGCAAGCGGAGGGAGGCGAGAGGCATGTATTTTTTAATGGATTTATTGATCGGGAAGGCATTAATTCTCCGTGCGGGGCTGATTTTCAAACCGCTTGCAGAGCGCGGCTCCATTGTTCGCCGCGCGCGCAGGCCCCGCCCCGGGCCCCGAGTGCGGCGCGCGGATTGGCCGGCGCGCGCGGGGGCCGCGTCAGCGCCCGCGAGCCCATTCATCTGTGCACTTGGGCGTTGGACCCCGCATCTTATTAGCAACCAGGGAGATTTCTCCATTTTCCTCTTGTCTACAGTGCGGCTACAAATCTGGGATTTTTTTATTACTTCTTTTTCGAAAAAAAAAAAAAATCTACACTTGGGGTCCTTTTTTCGTGCTCGACTTTTCCAACCCTTTTTTTCCCTCCCGCCTGCGCTGCTGCTTTTTGATCTCTTCGACCGAAATTTTTTTCTCCGGAGTGTATTTAATCGGCTCTGTTCCGTCCTCTCCGCCGCCCCCACACCCCCGCCCTCCGGTGTGTGTGCAGCCGCCGGCGCCGCTGCTGCTGCTGCTGCTGCTGCTGCTCGCCCCGTCGCGACACCGACCCGAGGCTCTTTGTTCCCCCCGCGGATCTGTTGAGTTTCTTTGTTGAAGGAGCCAGCATGGGTGCCCAGTTCTCCAAGACCGCTGCGAAGGGAGAAGCCGCCGCGGAGAGGCCCGGGGAGGCGGCTGTGGCCTCGTCGCCTTCCAAAGCGAATGGGCAGGTAAATGCTACCTGTGGTTCTGGTCGTTCCCGGGGTGTCCTCCTCCGGTCTCCTCGCCTCCCCAGGCTTCGGGTCGCGCCCGAGGAGCACACGGCGGAGTGGCGGAGCGCGGCCGGGTTCCGATCTGAAAGTTGAATGGAAAAGTAATGCCCTAAATTGTCAATTTCTCGCGGGGGTGGGGTGGGGGTGGCCTCCCCCCACCCTCACCCCCAAAAAAGAGTGGTTCCGGAGGATCCTGGCGAATTCTTGTGTATAGACGGGGGAAAAGAAATGATAAATGGTCTAAAATGGCGTGTTTGGAGCTTGGCAGAACGTGACTGGATGGGTGCAACCCCCCACCCCTACTCCCGGCCAGGATGCATTTGTGTCTGGGGGGGCACAAAGGTGTTTGGGGGGTGGCTCTTGTGTTGGTCGTGGAGACGGGGCTGCCTTCACGGTTTCTAGACTGGTGTGATTGTGCGTGTGGTTAGGGAGAGGGGATGGGGGGGCGCGATGGGCATGGCGGTGGAGAAAGGCGAGGGAAGGGCTGTCTTTTTGTATGCCGAGGCGGCGTGGGTGCTTGGAGAGGTGCTGGCTGGCTGCAGCTGGGCAGGAGGGTTTCAGCGCCCTTCCACGGGGCTTGCCCACAGCTCCGGATCCTTAGGCATAGCTGTCTTGTGCACTTACACACCCATCTACTTTTAAATAGTATCCCTGGGGTGGGTGGGAAGACTGGGTCCTTGAAGAACCCGTCCAGATGGCACCGAGGCAGTTAGCGCCTTTCCGTCCGGACTGTGAGGGTGCGCGGCGCCCCCACTCCTGCGGGGGCCGCCCGGACGCCGCCGCGACCCAGGCGCTGGCTGTGGTGGGGCGGGCGCGAGAGGGCGGCCTTGGGTGGGTGCGAGAGGTCGCCAGCCCGGAGCACCCACCACGCCTCTTTTCCTAGAGGCAGAGGTGGTGCTGTGCTTCGCCGGCTCTAACCTAATGGGGAAGACGAGCTGTACCAAGAGGCTTTGCACCCGTTAAAAATGCAAAATGCGCCGCCGGGGCGCGCCCCGGCTTCACCGAATCTCAGGCAGAGGTGGGCGTGGGAGCAGAAGCAGAAATACTGGGTTTCCCCCGGCCTTGTTGGTTTTACCCCAACCTGGATGCCGGGAAGCCGCCGGAGCTTTGTTTGCGGACTCTGCGCTGCGCGATCCAGGCTCGGGGGCGCCACGGCCGGCGGGCAGGGCCTGGCTAGGGCAGGGCGGGGTGGCCCGGCGGCCCCGCCCCTCCGCGCCCGCCCGCGCCCAGCTCCGCGCGGTGGAGGAGCAGCGCCCCCTGCTGACCCCCGGCCCGAGGCGCGCGCGAGGCCTTTGCGCTCTCAGGGCGGGCGCTCGGGGCGCGAGCGCTGGGATCCCCTGGGAGTTGCGGTTGTTTGGAAGAGGGTTTTAGGGGCTAGGGGGAAAGGGGCCTGCGCGACGCGGTGCCGACCACCGGCCCTGGCTGGCCCTGTGCCGCCCTCTTGCAAAGGGCGTTTGGTGTCGCCCGTGCCACACGCTTGCGTTTTCCCAAAGGCGCAGGCGGGAATGGTTTATCCTTTGCTCTCGGTGTTTCGGTCTCCGCCCTTTTAAAAGCTGAGCCGAGAGCATCTGTGGAGCGGTCGAGGTACCGCTGTGACTGGGGCGCCCCAAACGGCCCGGCCCCCGTTTCTTCGCGGCGCTCTAGCTTGGGCTTCGGCCCCGCCTCCTGCACCCCCGGGTGGAGGGCGAGAGGCCCGCCCCCGACGGCGACCCCGAGGCGGGGGCGGGGTGGCGGCGTCCGGGCCGCTTCAGTGACGCTCCGTTTTCTGTGTCCCGCAGGAAAACGGCCACGTGAAGGTAAACGGCGACGCCTCTCCCGCGGCCGCCGAGCCGGGCGCCAAGGAGGAGCTGCAGGCCAACGGCAGCGCCCCGGCCGCCGACAAGGAGGAGCCCGCGGCCCCCGGGAGCGGGGCGGCGTCGACCGCTGCCCCCGAAAAAGAAGAGCCGGCCGCCGCCGCCCCCGAGGCCGCGGCCAGCGCCGCGGAGAAGGAGACCCCCGCGGAGGGCGAGGCCGCCGAGCCCGGCTCGCCCACGGCCGCGGAGGGGGAGGCCGCGTCGGCCGCCTCCTCGACGTCTTCGCCCAAGGCCGAGGACGGGGCCACGCCCTCGCCCAGCAACGAGACCCCGAAAAAAAAAAAGAAGCGCTTTTCCTTCAAGAAGTCTTTCAAGCTGAGCGGCTTCTCCTTCAAGAAGAACAAGAAGGAGGCCGGAGAGGGCGGTGAGGCCGAGGGCGCAGCGGGCGCCTCCACCGAAGGCGGCAAGGACGAGGCCGCTGGGGGCGCAGCCGCGGCCGCCTCTGAGGCGGGCGCGGCCTCCGGGGAGCAGGCGGCAGCGCCGGGCGAGGAGGCCGCCGCGGGCGAGGAGGGGGCAGCGGGTGGCGACCCGCAGGAGGCCAAGCCCGAGGAGGCAGCCGTCGCGCCCGAGAAGCCGCCCAGCAGCGACGAGGCCAAGGCCGCCGAGGAGCCCACCAAGGCCGAGGAGAAGGCTGAGGAGGCCGGGGCCAGTGCCGCCGCCTGCGAGGCGCCCTCAGCCGCCGGGCCCGGCGCGCCCCCGGAGCAGGAGGCCGCCCCCGCGGAGGAGGCGGCTTCAGCCTCGTCAGCCAACGCAGCCCCCTCACAGGAGGCCCAGCCCGAGTGCAGTCCAGAGGCCCCCCCAGCGGAGGTGGCAGAGTAAAAGGGCAAGAGTTTTTGAGATAATCGAAGAACTTTTCTCCCCCCCGTTTGTTTGTTGGAGTGGTGCCAGGTACTGGTTTTGGAGAACTTGTCTACAACCAGGGATTGATTTTAAAGATGTCTTTTTTATTTTCCTTTTTTTTAAGCAGCAAATTCTGTTTTTCCCCCCCTCCCACAGATCCCATCTCAGATCATTCTGTTACCACCATTCCAACAGGTTGAGGAGAGCTTAAACACCTTCCTCTGCCTTGTTTCTCTTATTTTTATTTTTTGCATCAGTATTAATGTTTTTTGCATACTTTGCATCTTTATTCAAAAATGTAAACTTTCTTTGTCAATCTATGGACATGCCCATATATGAAGGAGATGGGTGGGTCAAAAAGGGATAGCAGATGAAGTGATAGGGGCCACGATGGGGAAATTTAAGTGGTGCATAACATTGCCAAGATAATGTACCACTAGAAATGGTGTAAAGGCTTAGTCTTTTTTTTAAAAAAAAAAAAAAAGTTATTACGATGTATTTTGTGAGGCAGGTTTACAACACTACAAGTCTTGACTAAGAAGGAAAGAGAAAAAAAACACCAATACCCAGATTTTAAAAAAGATCATAGTCTTAGGAGTTCATTTAAACCATAGGAACTTTTCACTTATCTCATGTTAGCTGTACCAGTCAGTGATTAAGTAGAACTACAAGTTGTATAGGCTTTATTGTTTATTGCTGGTTTATGACCTTAATAAAGTATAATTATGTATTACCAGCAGGGTGTTTTTAACTGTGACTATTGTATAAAAAAAACAAATCTTGATATCCAGAAGCACATGAAGTTTGCAACTTTCCACCCTGCCCATTTTTGTAAAACTGCAGTCATCTTGGACCTTTTAAACACAAATTTTAAACTCAACCAAGCTGTGATAAGTGGAATGGTTACTGTTTATACTGTGGTATGTTTTTGATTACAGCAGACAATGCTTTCTTTTCCAGTCGTCTTTGAGAATAAAGGAAAAAAATCTTCAGATGCAATGGTTTTGTGTAGCATCTTGTCTATCATGTTTTGTAAATACTGGAGAAGCTTTGACCAATTTGACTTAGAGATGGAATGTAACTTTGCTTACAAAAATTGCTATTAAACTCCTGCTTAAGGTGTTCTAATTTTCTGTGAGCACACTAAAAGCGAAAAATAAATGTGAATAAAATGTACAAATTTGTTGTGTTTCTTTATGTTCTGATAATACTGAGACTTGTAAGTCTTAGGTCAATTTTGAGGAAGATCTTGCATGCCATCCAGTGTAAATTTTCTTGTGGTTTTTAATCTGGAGTTTTCAAAGTCTGAAATTCATAATCAGCAGTGTCAGATTACATACAGGAAAATTTTACAACATTCCATGTCAAATCTGTTACCATTTATCGCATTTAGTTTTCATTTACAAATTGAGCAATTATTTTTGTTGTAGTTATATCACATGTCAGAATAAATGGCTTAATGCAAAAGTGGTGTTGCCCAAAGACTATTTAAATGTCTTACGGAAAATTTCATAAAAGTATTTTTTTTTTCCTCATGCAGGTCCAGAACTTAAATTTATACCTAGAGTCTATTTAAGCTGCAGATGGGTCATGAAAAGTGACCAAATGTGTTGCAAAAATTGATGGTGTATTACCTGCCATTGTAATTGCTTAGTCTTTGGCTAATTTCCAAATTACTGTTTAGGCTATGTATTACCCCTTACTAAAACAGACATGTTAAAGAAGTAATGGTGATAAATGGATGACATTGTCAGTTTATGGGCCTTTAATGTTTGTCTCAATTCAATAGTTGTAAGCAGTTTTTCTTTTAAGTGAAAGTAGTGCTTTTTAGCATCTTGTTACTCAGAGGATAGACAATACTACTTCCTTATATAGTAATAATCCTTACTAGTTTACTTCCTTTGCTTTTTTATCACCTCATAACTGGATTTTTTTTATTCTCTCCACTGGACCCTAAACTGAATTGAATTTTAAGATAACTTATGTATCATAATACCATTACTTCATTGAATGCAAAGAAAAATTGTTTATGCATACCTGCTTTGTTGTTTTGTAGCAGTGTGCTCTGCTCGGTAGGGTTCCCAATAAATCAGTGGACCATGTTTGTAACAACTGAATGCCAAATCTTAACTCAAAAAAATAACAAATTAGCTTTTCAATTGTGCTTTTAATAGGAATAGTGGATCACAAATAATAGTTCATGACTTCTTACCAAACACCCTCCTCACTAATAAACTCAAATAACACTTGGAAGAGTGTGTCCTTTTCAGCTGAGGTTTCTTGATCATGGAGGATGTTTGTATGTTAAAGATAAAATCTGGTAACCAAAGCACTACTCTAATAAGGGGTCTTTCCCACCTTACCAACTTTTCCTCATTTATTTCCTTGGCCAAGTATAGCCCCTGGTATGTGGTTGGACTCAAAAAAAAAAAAAAAAAAATTAAAAAGTAACTCCTGCATAGTCAAATACTGTGTATCCAACGATATTGCTAGATTTGTTCTTTTTAACAGCTGGAATTTATTAAGATGCATTATTTTGATTTTAATCATTGCTTAAAACACTTTGGGTGGTATTGACGGAGTGGTGGACTTTCCACCAAGTGATTTAATGAAGTTTGACATTTATCTTTTCATCCAAAGTTTTGTACATCGCATTGTTTTCTAATGGAAAAATGTTAATATGGCTTTTTGTATTACTAAAAATAGCTTTGAGATTAAGGAAAAATAAATAACTCTTGTACAGTTCAGTATTGTCTATTAAATCTGTATTGGCAGTATGTATAATGGCATTTGCTATGGTTATAAAATACTTCCTCTGGATTATAATAATCATTTGATCCAATTCCTATTGCTTGTAAAATAAAGTTTTACCAGTTGATATAATCAAGCTTGCTAAAATAGGATTTTTTACAAATTTAATTTTAAGCCTTTACACCATTAAGGTAAGTATTACTCAGTTTAAGGGATTTAGAAGGTATGCGTGATCTTATACTTAGGTTATAAAATTATCCATTGAAAATGAGTTATGCTCACAAGTCAATTAAAAATTTCATGATAGAACTTGATATTTGAGAAACAATTCATTTATATTTTTCCCTCATGAATATAAACTTCATAAAATTTTGCAGTTATAGCTTGGGAGAAGGATGCTTATTACTCTCCTATATTTTAGGTAGATCTTAGAATAGCAGCTGGGAGAGGGGCGTAGTTTAGCATAGCTCAAGTCAGCTTGAAAAACTCTAAAAAAAAAAAAAAACCACCTTAAAAACTGGTTAAGTAACAGGATTATTAGCTTGTATTTTTTCCTTTAATCGTTCACTGAACAAGCGGAGCAATTTTTTTCTCTCTGCTTCTCAACTATACAAAAGTGCTTAAAGCAGGATGTAGCAACATACAGATTTTTTTTTTTTTTAATTTTTGCAATAATGTAATTGACCCACTCACTGCTAGGGAGTTCAAGTTCTCCTTAAAAATGGAAATAAGTACATTTAAAAGGTATGAATGATAGGCATATCTTAGTTCAGATAAATTACTGAATCTGAAATATTCCTGTCTAGAGTTCTTCCTTTCAATGGCTCGAAATCAATTTTTTAAACAAAAAAAATCTACCCCTGACATGAGTAATCAGGTACAAGTATAGAAAAGAATTATTACAAAATTTTTTAAAATTCTGATAAAACCAAGTTCTAGTGTTTTGATAAAATTAAAGCAGAAGACTTCTAGTATTACTAGTTCTTGGAAAATGAGAGAAAATTTATCAGTTGCTGTTACTGCTGCTGCTCTCTTTTCAGGGGAAAAGTAAAACCTGTGGGACTACTGAGGATTTCAGTGAATATAGCAATTTAGCATTACAGGTTCTTTCTAACAAGTGGGTAATTGGTCTTTACGTTTAAAATGTGCATTAAGAGCTATTTATTATAGTACTAGAATTCTGTACTAGATTGTTAGGTGAACAAAAAAGGGGAATGGAAGGCAAGGGATTCTTGTAGAGAGTTATATATTTTAGTATATGTGCTGCCGAAGCGAGCACACTTGTAGAGAGTTATAAATTAGAAGTCTAAGAAAGTCCTCATGGCAAATGTAGGTCAAGTGGTACATACCTGCATTTTGGAAGCACCATCCAAGGAAGCACCATCCAAGGAAATCTACAAATTGTTTTTAGTGACCATATTTTATTAAGTAAGAAGGAACAGATGAATTAACTTTTGTAACATTTTAAATTTTTTTCTTATTAAGCCTTTAAAATCCAGTGTAAAATAAAATCCAGTGTATTTTATACGTATAACATCTCAGTTTGAAATACCCACATTTCAAGCGTTCACCAGTTACATGTGGCTACCACTTTGAAGAGTCTAGAGAATTAAAGCCTGAGAGTCAAGGACTGATTAGGAATGTTGTTCTACAGACTATTTGCAAAATGTAACTTGTGTAATTAATTACACAAGCTTCAAAAGTTTAGCTTTGAAACCAACATTGAAGCTCTTTTCAAAATTTCAAACCATTTTAAACAGTTAATATGACATTGACGTTATTAATAAGCACAGTGAGCGTGAGATTCTCAATGGCTTTGTCTGGGGCTAGTTTATATACCACCAATGCTCATATGTTGAAGACCTAACCCCAGTCCTAACCTTAGAATGTTGACTATTTGGATCATTACAGAGGTGACTGAAGTTCAAATAAGGTCGTTAGAGTGAGCTCTAATGCAATGTGACTGGTGTCCTTACATGAGAAAAAAAATGGAATCATTGAAAGACACCATGAATACCTGCATATAAAGAGAAAAGATACTGTGAGGACACAAACAAGAAGGTGACCATCTGCAGTCAAGGAAGAGAAACCTCAGAAAACACCCTACCTGTCAGCACCTTGATTTTGAACTTCTAACTTCCAGAACACAGAGGAGGGGGAAAAAAGTTTCTGTTGTTTAAGCCACAGTCTGTGGTATATTTTTATGGCAGCATAGCAAACTAATACGGGACTCCAGAGTAGGAATGGAAAAAAATTATCTATACTTAAGAATGTAAGTATCTTCAGAATGAGAATCTAGAATTTTACATACTTACTTTTCTCATACCTTAGGTAAATGAGACAACTTTGTAGCTTGAGAATCTTGTTTTTTCTATCTTAGAAAAGAGAAAGGGTAAACAATTAGAAAAGTAAATTACTTAATTCTTCATTGATGAGTAGATAGGAAAAACCTCTAGAATACAAATAGTACAAATATATTGTCTAAAAATAATATGTAGGGCCTCCTTGGTGGTGTAGGAGTTAAGACTCAGCGCTATCACCACCAGAGCCTGAGTTCCATCCCCAGCCAGGGAGCTACCCACATGGTGCAGCAGACCTCTTCTGTCTTGCCCACTGCTCCCCTCAGCAGTGTATTTCAGTAGATCTGCCTGTTCTGCTCCCCACTCCATCTCTGGTGAATCCTCTCACCCCCAACCCCTGTACCTCTGGCCTACACCCCAGTTCTTGTATGCATAAATAAAAAATAAATCTTAAAATACATAAATAAAAGATAAAAAATGCTATATAATGTTATGTCTGAACATATCCACCTCAATTTTTTCCTTGCAATTTGTGAGAAACTTGAGTTGTTTGTCCCAGAGTTTTACAGTATGAATTTTGCTGATTACACCTCATGCTGTCATTAAATACATCTTTTGTCTTTTCTGTATTTCTTGAATTTTCTGTGAATTAATCAGTAGATCTAGAGACTTGATTGAGGTCAAAGAACTTTATCATAAGTGATGGTATATATTTCTGTCACCAGGTAATACTGTCTGGTTGCTTCTCTTTTTGTCATGTATGAAGCCATTGACCTTTGCTTAAATCTATTAATTAATTTAGGCTTGCCAAATGGGTTTATTCAAATTTTTCATTTGCTTATTCAGGTAGTACTTTGAAAAGAAACTTTCCCTCACGAGCCCTTTGGTTGTCCTGAAGTATATTTTTTAATGAAAAAAAGGAATAAATGTATGAAATTTTTCCCTTTATTTACTGATTCACAGAATAACTAATTGATTTTCTAATATTCTCCAATGGTGACCAAAGACTGTATTTGTTGCTGTTTACTATCATTATACATAGTTTTTTTTTTTTTTTAAAGATTTATTTATTTATTTATTTATACAAGCACTGGGTATAGTCAGAAGCGGGGAAGGGTGAGAGAATTCACCAGAGTCAGAGCGGGGAGTAGAGCAGGCAGAAGGACCAAAGTACACTGCTGAGGGGAGCAGCGGGCAGCAGGAGAGGTCTGCGCGCCATGTGGGACCCTCCTCCGGTGACCGGGGAGCAACCGGGGATCGAACCGGCGCTGCAGAGGCTGCGGGCAGCTTCGCAACCCAGCGCTCAACCGCTGCGCCACCAGGGAAGCCCATACATAGATTTTAATGTAATAATTTTGATGTAAGCAATATAATGATGTTCAAGTTAACTCACAGTTGATTTTCTTTTGAAAATTAGTAATGACACAGTTACAGAAGTTATAGAATTCAATAAAGGAAATCAGTTTTAATTTTATTAAGATGCTACTTGGACATGTGCTGAAAGATAAATGGAATTCAGTATTTACTCAAATGAAATGAATTTATATGTGTCCATGTTGGCACACACCTAAACTTGAGTTGGGGTGTCATGCCAAGAAAGCTTCTATTTATACAATTTTAAAGAAATGGTAGGCATTGCAATTTTTTGGTTTACCCTCTAACTACTGGTGTATAATCATATTTAATATTATCAAAATCAATCCCACCACAACATCTTACTCCTTGCAACAAGAAGAAATGTCTGTAAACTTATGAGCATGAGGAGTCTCACCAATCACCTATCATGGAGACAGTCCTGCTGGCACCTGGTGCTGCAATATGATAAGGAGATCAAGTTGATCAACTGTCATTACTAGTTTTCCTAGGAAAATACTAAAATTTCCATCATGGAGTGTGGGCCAATAAAATTGGCAATTAAAAGAATTTATATTGATGTAGAACCCAGACGCTCCTAATGGCAAGACTGACAACTTTTTCAAAGAAGTTTTGAGAAAGCTGAATTTAAATGACCACAAGATAACATCATTTTCTAAGCAAACTACCAACTAGAGCTACTTACTTTTAGTGTTTTTGAAAAATTGGCAAGTCATGCATGAGGCAATAAGCTAAAATACATAATATTTGAATAGATTTGAGGACACTTGGAAATTATTTTTTACTTATGGACTTGTTCAGGTCATAGTATAAGATATTAACTATAAAAATGAATTATCTTGACAATTCATTTTCCTCTGACTTCTGATGTATTATCTATTAAATTCAAGGATTAGATTACATGTGTTTCCTGATATTTTAGAATCATAAAGTATTGCTAAGAATTTTGTAATTTTTAAAATAAAAATTTAATTTTTTATTAGTTGTTTTACATAGCTTCTAAATAAAAAAGTTCATGTGGATAGAAGTGAAATTTATGAGAACACCAATCACGCATTTATTTAAGCCAAAAAAAATTCTAGTTTCTTTTCTAAACTATAGCAAAAGTTGTTACTCATATCTCCTGAGAAAATTTACAATTTTCAGCATTCTTACACAGAACACAAATATTTCATTTTATTAATGCTTAGTAGGCGAAGAACAACTTGATAATATATATGCCTCATTTTATATATATGTAGTTTTAGATTTATATTAATATGCTTAATATATAAAAATATAATATATAGTTATATATTATATATATTATATGATGTATAAAATACATATTTATATAGTTTGTGTAAATATGTATATGTTATACATAAATATGTGATATAAACATATATATCATATGTACATTTTTATATATTATAAAACCAGCCATAAATATGAATGTGTGCTCTCTATTTTCTAGAATTTTCAATCTTGTCACCATCCTCATTTGCTTCATTAAGATACCCAAGAAAAAGTTATTAAAATAAAGAACAAGTTTATAGTTAAGAATCTATTCCATACTTCATTTATTCTTTGTTTAGCAATAATTGTTGAACACCTAATATGTTCTTGAAATGGACTGAGACCTAGGAACATAAGAGTGAATATACTACATGCCTAGAATCCTTTGTGGGAGGAAAAACATCACTAAAGTTAAAAATAAAACAATACTACTAATAACAATCCGCAATGCTTTTTTTAAGCCAAATGCATTTAATTACCTTATAGTATTGGTTCCATGGATATTAGATGAAAACAGATGAAATATAAAAAATAGATGAAATCAGATATTATAAAAATCAATACTTGGTGTATCCCTCCAATTTTTAAGTTTATATTTTAATATTTTTATTTTAATAAACAAAATATAGAAGTGCATGTTCAGATTATCTATTGTCAAATTACAAACCATCTGAAAACTCAGTGGTATAAAAGTGATAATCTTGAAACATTTCCTCTTTGAGAACAGCTTTATTGATAGAATTGACATACAATTAACTGTATATATTTAAAGGGCACAATTTCATAAGCACACAAAAATATATACCTGTGAACCATCACCAAAATCAAGATAATGACCACATCTGTGATGCTCAGGATTGTGTGGGTCAGAGCTTTGAGAAGTTACAGTAGGGACAGCAGTCTTTGATACATGATGTTTATAGCCCCAGCTGGGGTTGCTTGAATAGCTGTGGGTTGTTGGGATAGCAATACTGGGGTTATATGTCTGTGGTCTTTGTTTTTCTTCGTGTCGGGGCTAGAAGTTCCAAGATGATTCCTTCATCATTGGTACTGATGCCTTGGCTGGAGTGATTGGAATAGCAGAGACCTAGCAGGTACCCTGTGCACATATGGCTGTGTTAGGATAATCAGACTTCTTATGTGGCAGCTGATGGTTCCCAGAGCCTTCCAGAAAGAGTCCCAAGAAACAGGAAATGGAAGCTGCCAGTCTCTTAGAGCCTGGTCTCAGGAATTGGCACAGCTCACTTCTGCACTGGTCAAAATAATCACAGAAGCCATCCAGATTCTATAGGAAAAAAAGGACATGGATATCAGTGAGAGAACTGTCAAAACAAAATTTTCACCATCTTTAAATCATTATGATTTTATACTGGATATGCAATATTCCTGATTGAAAGACTTCAAATTGAGGACATAAACGAACTATTTCCTGTGGATTACAAGGGCAGTGTTAGGGGGAGGGGGTAAAAGTTAATATCAGAATTTCCTTCAACTCTTCTGTTTTCATTGTTTTTTGTTTGTTTGTTTTTATTTATTTGTTTGTTTTGTTTTGTTTATATATGCACTGGGTATAGTCAGAAGCGTGGGAGGGTGAGAGAATTCACCAGAGCCAGAGCGGGGAGCAGAGCAGGCAGAAGGGCCGAGGTACACTGCTGAGGGGAGCAGCGGGCGGCAGGAGAGGTCTGCGTGCCATGTGGGACCCTCCTCCGGTGGCCGGGGAGCAGCCGGGGATCGAACCGGCGCCACAGAGGCCGTGGGCAGCTTAGCACGCCAGCGCTCAACCACTGTGCCACCGGGGAGGCCCTGTTTTCATTGTTTTTTTATCAAGCAACATTCTTTAAATAACCTAAAGTTGTGATATCCTGATATGTTATAAATAGGTGTAATTTTGATACAAATACACATGATCAAGTTCATATGTTAGATAACATTGCTGGTTTATTGGTTATTTTAGAATATTCTATCATTTAGTGATATATTTTAGCCATATAAATTATCAAGATTCCAAAATCATCAATGCATAATCAATTCAGTAAAGCCTTTCTACTAATGTTATCTTCCTATATTACCATATCGGGAATGCAGAGCTTTACCATTATAAGAATTCCATTTTTAAAAAAGTTGTCTGGGGCCTCCCTGGTGGCGCAGGTGCTTGAGCGCCACACTGTAAAGCTGTCTACAGCCTCTGCAGCACGAGTTTGATCCCTGCCGGCCCATGAGAATCCCACATGGCATAGCAGACATCTCCTGTCTTGCCCACTGCTCCCCTCAGCAGTGTTTTTTGTCAGTCTGCCTGTTCTGTTCCCTGCTCTGTCTCTGGTAAATCCTCTCACCCTCCCGCACATCTGGCCTGTACCACGGTTCTTATATAAATAAATAAATCTTTAAAAAATAAAAATAAATTTAAAAATAAAAATAAAAAAGTTGTCTGGGGCATAGACACAAAGAGAATTACAACACTACACATAAAATCATTGTCTATTAACAAACTTTACAAGAGATAATTTCAAATAAATGGCTTCATATTTTCTGAATAAATATAATCTACTGTGAGGATAGCATATTGAAAAACTGTATTCAAGACATGGTAAAAATATCTTTCTTGTATGTTCAAACACCATGTGAGATGTATATATCTGGCATAAAAAAATAGTTAATGAAAAACAGAGAAAATTTAACTTAATGAATTATACCTAGTAATACTCTCAGGAGAATATTTTCATTATAACCTTTTGAGATTATAAGGGAAAGGCAATGCATCAATAAAATTACATGGGAAAGAGGTACCTGATTCATTTAAGGAGAATTAAATGAAAATATCAGTCATTATTTTTTTTCAAGACTAGAGAGTAGGACTTGGAAAGAAAGAACTACCATATGTCATCCTTTTGGCCTCCACTCAATCACAGTTCATCTTAAGCAATAGCAATCAAGTTTCTCATTCTACCTTCATTCCTAACACATTTCCTCTTCTGACTAAAGCACACGAAAATGGAAAGAAACAATTATTTCAGTTGCACATGTGCATGCATACAATTATTTCCATATCAGAGATACGACAAAGAACCATTAAAAATGTTAGCCACTTGGAATACTAGAGTTGGAAAGGTGAACAGATGGTAATGAGTTTTGATTATTAAGTAAATATGACGGTGCTTTATAGGAGCAGGCAGTGTCTGTCTATTGAAGAATAGAGTTTAAGGCATTGACATTCTTTGGGAGAATAAAAAAAGCAACCTAGATATAGAAGTAAACTGAAGCAAGCTCAAATGATCAGAAATTCAGTTTAGTAGAAGAATTACAATTTGAAAAACACATGTTGTAGCAAGCTACAGAAGAATACACTGAGAATTGGGAGACGTTGTATTTATGGGGTGGACCTCAAACACAAGCGATCAGTTATCCCCCCGGCAAAATGGATTTAGTTGGAAACAACAAGAAGGCGGCACTTTGGAAATGCAGGCCCATGGAGACACATGTGAACTTCACCTAATCAAAGGCATCTCTTTGGAGGTGCTGCTAGGTGAAGATGTCTCCTTCCACTGGGCTCCAGGAAGGAACATTTTCCAGCAGGAGATGCGAAGCCGGTTGCATTCTGTAGTTTGCTGCTTGTGGTGTGTAGGCACTCTCTACTAACTTCCCACCCTCTTTTAAGTGGGTTTCTACATGTTAATTTGCACATGGACAAGGAGCATAAGGAAGAAAGCCCAGCAGAGTCCAGCCAATACGTTCATTGACATGAAGATGGGGAGAAGTTCTTAATAGAAATTAATCAGGAGATAAGTATCTGTATCTTCTAATGAGGTATTCACAGAAATTCAGTCTTAGTTCTTAAGTTCCTTTCTTCTGAGGGAACATACATGAAATCCTCCAGTTCCACTTTAGATTGAAATCTTTTTACAAGAGGCAGCACCCAAAACAAGCAATGAAAGCAACACATTTCCTTTGTTTTGAATATATTATGTATTTGCGTATGGAATGTTTAAAATGCATTCCACATCCGTTTTCTAAGTGATTCATATCAAGCTTGTTTTTCTTTTCTTAATTAGGTTCTTTACAAAATTATATAGCTACCAAGGAGTGGGGAGATCATGTAACCAGAGTGAAAAACAATTAAAATTAATTATTGGGATAGAGGTTAAATGAGGTTCAAGAACTTAGCCACCGAGCAGCATTCCAGACATCTAATAGATGTCTCTGTGTCTAAGGTGATAAATAAGAGCTTGGCATTTGTGGTGTGAACTTAATTAATTAGCATAGAGGAAAGAAAAGTCATACCTTGTAGAAAGTGTATGTAACTAAAGTATTCCTGTATCACTGAGTCTTAAGTCTTAGTGTTTCATATGCTTATTCAAAATGTAGCTTCTTTGTTCTTTCTCAACAAATTCCTCCCAGATGATGTCAGAAAGAGTAAGTTTATCTGTGGAACTCAGTGCAGTACTACAGGGTTTTCAATGGTTGTCAATATTTATTCAAAGTTTTATATAGGAGCTTTTGTGCCAGGTTTCATAATACAGCCAGTAGGGAGACTGGTTTCCTGATTTGAGAAATACTAGTGGAATAAGCAAGACTTGTAACTAGATCATAAAATACAACAAAAAGCCTTCTTTAAAAAAAAAGGACCCATATCTTAGAGAACACCAATTAAAATCAAAACATGAAAAAGAAGCCCAAAGGCAGAATTTCTATCAGAATGGGGACTACATCCCTCTCATCAATGTGAACACATGAAAAAAGTTATTCATGTTAAAATCACTCTAAGAAAACTCAAAAGGAAAACAGCAAACTGAGAAAAATATTTACAATTTTTTAATAAATTCCCTGAAGAGTTTTTCCAAACTTATTTAAAAACCCAACATCTTAATAGAATCTAAGCAAACAATATTGACCATTTACTTAAGAGGAAATACAAATGACTCTTAAATATATCAAAATAAGCTCAACTTCATTTATAAAGTTAGAACTACAAATTGAAATTGTATAATTTTTACTTATTAGATTAGCAAAAATCAAAAAGTTTGAGAACTGTTAGAAAGCAGGGGGGTATTTCCCCACTTGCAAATTAACTTCAGAAAAATTAGTAGGAGGAAAGGATTGGGGATATTTATCCTGAATTTAGGAAAACTGACTATGAGGGTTGAGGGAAGAGGGAGGGAAAGCATTTTACATGACCCACTAGAAAGAGTTGCCACATCTTCACTATGCAGAGTAAAGATGAGATTCTCAGGCAGGATATGTTCCTGATAAACCTACAATTGGATGACGACCCAAACTACATTCTTTTAGGCATGAAAGGGGGTGGAGTGATTATTTCTCTGATTAGGACAAGGGAAAAAGCTTAGGACATGATCATTCTTTGATGAAGGAAGGGTGAATGAAGGATTTAAGCAAGGACAAGTTTGCTCTCAGCCTCAAGGGATTTCATTGTTCTTACCTCAAAATGCTCTGCAGGCCAGAGAAGAGCATCTTGAGGAGACCAATTATAAGAATCTTGGGGTAGTCTGATTTGAGGACCTTCAAAGCACACACAGTGTTAATGAGGATGTGGAAAAATGGTGACTTTCATCTATTATTTGGATAAGTGTAAATTAGTGAATTATAATTTTGTATTGTCTATCAAAAATGTATATTCATATCCAGCAATTCTATTAACAATTAATTCTACTTTTAGGAACTCATCCCAAGATATATCCACACATGCAAAATATATATTAGATATATATGTAATTGTGATTATTCATTGCAGCATTGTTGCTATTAATAAAAAAAAAAGTAGAAACAACTTGAATGTCCACAAATAGAAGTTGGGTTAAATATATTCAGGTATACACATGTAATGGACTATTGTGAGATTTTTGTTATTTGTTGTTATTTACAAAACACCACAGAGAAAGTGACTTGAAAGAATAATAATTATTAACATTTTCACTCACAGTTCTATGGGGATCTTCTGTAACATATGATGCTGTCTGGAGTTGCAGTCATCTGAAGGCCCAGCCAGGTGGGATGTCCGAAGTGGCTGGCTCATGTGGTTGGCAGCTGGTGTTGGCTGTTGGATGGGAAGGCAGGTGGAGTTGTTGAGTGGAGTGTATTAGCATTACCTCTCCTCCATGTGCCTCTGCTCATGGCTTGGGCTTCTTCCAGCATGATGGCTAGCTTCCAAGAGGGAGTATTCCCGGGACATAAAACTGTAGGTCTCTTAAGGGCCAGCCTTGGAAGTCATCCAGAATCACTTCTATTTCATTCTATTGAGCAAAATAATTTACAAGACCGGGCCAAAATACCAGGAGAAGGAAATCAATTCTATCTCCTAAGTAGAAGAGTGACTAAAAATTTGTGACCATTTTTAACCTACTAATAGATCAATCTGTGAAACAGAAAGGTCATACTTTATATACTTATTTGAAACAATTTCTTTTTCTTTTAAAGATTTATTTATGCATAGAAGAACTGGGATGTAGGCCAGAGGTGCAAGGGTGAGAGGATTCATCAGAGACAGAGCGGGGAGCAGAACAGGCAGACCTACCAAAATATACTGCTAAGGGGAACAGTAGATGAAACAGGGGAGGTCTGCTGCACCATATGTGGATTAGCAACCTGGCCAGGGATGGAACTCAGGCCATAGTGGTGACAGCACTGAGACTTAACCCCTAGGCCACCAAGGAGCCCTCCTGATTGGAAATAATTTCTGCTTTCATGCTAAATGATGGGTATATGACTGTACTTATCGTAGTATCTATGTACACAAAAAGTATGGGTGTTTACATGTGCCAAAATATCTTTAGAGAATACGTAAGTAACTGGGTAGCTAGGTCCAAGAGTGATCCAATGTTCACTGATCTCTCTTTGCACATTTTGAATTTTGTGCAGTATGAATTTATCACCTATAAGAAGTTAAACTATAAAACTTACCAACATGAAAAGCATTACAAGTCACATGTCCTGAACTAAAAATCAAGATATATAGAGACCAGGAAATTTGAAATCTGTCACCCTCCAATCTATCATCTTGATAGTGATTGTATTTAATCATAATGTGATTAGATCTCAGAGGGCTGACTACCTACATCAGGGGACAACGATCCAGGGTAGACATATAAAGAAATTGCTTTTAAACCAGGGCTTAAAGATTGAAAAGATAGTTGCAGGTATTGGCAGATTGTAGTAAAAAGAATTTGAGAGGGGTCAAGCCTGATGGCTTCTATTTTTTATGTGAAAGAGGAAGCAAGGTCATCCTTTAAATGAGTTTTTGAGGATAAAAAGGGACACTTAAAAAGAATGAAAATTTTGGCAGCTGTTCTACAGGAAATGAATAAGAAAGGCAAAAACAGGTGGACTAGCTAGGTAAAAAAGTATAGGCGGTTACAATGCAGTGATGTCATTTTTCCCTCCAAACTCAGATTATAGAAACACATATCTGAAAAATAACAAAAATGCAGAAAATGAGCTAAACTTTACTGAGAATGTACAAGTGCGGGAGGAGGAAAACCAATGTGGAAGGAGATTGGTATGAGAGGTGTTAGAGCCATAGGCCATGGAGTTCTGGAAGGGAACCCAGAAGAGATGGACAGTGGGGAGTCCACAGTGTTTATGAGGAAGAGGTGGTAATGGAAGTAAGGGTGGTGGAATTAGACAAATAGAAGACAATTTGATTATTGGTTGAAACTGAATATTTCAGACATGGAACAATTCTGAATGAAGAGACAAATCCAAGGAATGACCAATCAAGGAATGACTTCTAATATTGGTTGTTAGAAATGCATTGCCACTGTTTTATTTGGGGTCTTACTTTCTGACTGGAGTGTAAATTGGATGTGTACTTCCACTACAGGGCATGGTTCTAGTGACCATATTTTACACACCCAACTTACACTATGACCCATATTTTGGATAATATGTTAATGTATTTATATGAAAATTATTCTGGTACCATGTATTTTGGTATTTGGTATATGCTGTTTCGTACCATGTGAGAACACTCGGGTAGCACAGATTTTGTAGACACTACAGAAATAACTTTAACAATGACAGATGATGATGCAAAAAAAAAATTCTTTCAAATGCAACAATTTTAGTTGAACTGTAAACTTCTTGAGAGGAGAGACCATTTATTAACCCATGGCATGCCAATCTTTTTTTGCACCATTGTTCACCTCAAGTTCTACCAATGTTTAGGGCAGTGCCAGTCAAATAGCAAGAGATTAAAAGACGTTTCTTGTTTAAGTTACTGGTTGATGATTTTACTTGTATCTCTGGGAGAGATGGACCCCAGCTAGACTAATCCCTTGCCTCTATCCCAAGAAATATGGTGTATTCCTAGGTGTACTCCTGGTTTAAAGAATAGGATACTTCCCTGCTCAGATTCCAAATTGCTTAGGAAAATAGAAGCTGCAACAAATCTACACCAGTAACACCCACTCACATGTCAGTTTTAAAACAACTTGGGAAAGGTCAGCCTATTTGACTTCCTGCTATTGTTGAATTAGCCCAGTGCCTGATTATATGGCAGCGTGCTGATGATTTTTAAGTGTTGTTTTTTTTTTTTAATCCATTTCAGTTTTCTAAGCAGCATAATTTAGTTAGGAACTTTCTTTTCACCCTGAATACTATTTGTCTTGAGAAAAGACTAGCTGTGATAAAAGCCTTTATTTTTAGTAGGCTTTACGACAACATCTGATACTTGAGTGGAAATCCACTCAAGAGATGGGGTAGAAAAGAGCCGAGTGAAGTTTGCCAGTGACAAGAAGATGTCACCAGTAAGCACTGTACCTTAATTCAAAGACCAAGGATTTAGCACTAAACTTTAGATATATTGAAAATATGATTTTATCCTTCAAACTATAATCACAGTTTGTTTTTGTTTCTATTTGCTTTGCATGAATTGTCTGAAAATACACATTTTACGAGGTAGTGGTTAAGGTCAGTATGGCATGTAGAAAATTATTCCTAAAATCCTTTATGAAACTTCAGAATAATACATCATTTTTATTTTTGTTATTGTATCAATTGTAATTTTACTTTTCAATTACAATTCTAATCTAAAGTTTTCTCTGGTGTTCAATATAATTTCCATATTTTAGTTGATTTTAAAATGCTACATAGGTACTACCTGATAGTTTAAGTGAAATTCAGTGTATTCCACATGAAAAAGTAGTTGAACATTAAAGCTATCAATTACAAAGCAAACAAAAACAGAGCCAGACAAAGTGATGAGATGACTCGGAGCTAGCATATCTGGAGCATAATTTCTTTCTCTGATTGAGTAAGAAAGTTCCATTAGCAAGCTTGCTTTTAGACTTGCAAACATATTACTGACCAGGGCCTCTCTGATGGCACAAGGGGTTAAGCACTGCACCATGAAGCAATTTGCAGCCTCTGCAGCATGAGTTTGATCCCAGACTGGCCAGAGAGCAACCCACATGGCAAAGCAGACCTCTCCTGTCTCTCCCGCTGCTCTCCTCAGCAGTGTATTTCAGTCTGCCTGTTCTGTTCCCTGCTGTCTCTGGTGAATCCTCTTACCACCCCCCACCCCCCCATATCTCTGGCCTGTACCCCAGCTCTCGCATACATAAATAAATAAATCTTTAAAAAAAAAATTACTTACCAGAGGAGTATTCTAAAGGCAATTTACACATATGTGCACCATCAGAGTCTAGATATTTAGCTACCAAACAGGTAAACTCAACCCACTGATAAAAAGTGCAAAGCAGTGGTCATGGATTCTGCCCTGCTATTCTAATTGTGTGACTTTGGGCTATTCACCTAATCTCTTTCTGCCTCACCTGTAAAATGAGAATAACAGAACTACCTCTTAGGGTTGTTGTGGGGATTAAATGAGGTAATGATATATGTAAAACACAGTATTATAAACAGTGCCTGAGGCATTACAGCAATATTCGATCTGGTTTTTAAGTTAGGTAAAGATTCTAGTTGAGCCAATTTTAAAGTAATGTTCTAGAATTCTCTAGAAGTGGAAAATAATACAAAGACAAAAGAGTCTTGAGTTTTGTGTCGGGATTGTGAAAGAAGAGAGTAATAATTAAACATTTTGTTTATACCAATAAAGAAATGGGCTTAATTTATAGTGGGAAAGGTTATGTTTTGAGTTTGTAGACTTCCCAGTACATTGCACTATCAGATAGGGTTGAGCGGAAATTGCAAACAAAGGAAAAACTACTCGATGCCAGTCAACATGACATTAATAAACTTGAAAGCTTACCTCTGTTCTTTTGATTGGATATGAAGTAGTGATTTGACATAAATATGCTACTATCTACAGAAAAGAGCTGAATTCTAACACTATTAAGACCACTTTACACGGAGAATCATTTCATCGATGGTCTCTTGTTAGCAATTCAGTAACTGAGCTCTTTCAGTCAGGTTCCAAGACCAATGATCTTCAGGAAGTTTGAATCCAGAACACTGTTTTTGGTAAAGCATAAGCCCCATAAACATTCCATTTGAATAACAATGGAAATCAATAGTATTTGACATTTAATAATCTGTTAGCAATCTCATTTTAAATATTGTGTCATGATCTCTATATCACGCTAACTGATTTATAGGGTTTTGATTGTTGTAGGGTTGTAACATTTTGAATCATTAAACATTTTTCACAGTTACGATTTCACACAAGCTAAAACCGATTTTTAAACCAAGTTTAGTCCAGAACATATGTTTAAAAATTTGGTAGAAAAATGGTAATTTAAGAAGGAAATGTGGGGGAAATTTAGAGACACTGGAGTACCACATTGCATAATGATTACATTTTAGCTCAAAGGAAATTTGAAGATCGTGTCATGTCCCCACACACACACACATACACCACAACCTTACAGATTAGTTGTTACAGGTAAGTTGCCTTGTTGCTCAGTCACAGTGATGCTTCTTGAAGTTGTGCCATGCAGAACCTGTGTGGCCATATATGATGCCCTGGTGACAGATGAGAAAATAAAGGTAATGAGACTGGCTCCAGGCTTCCTGAGAGGTTTGGATTCATATTGGTTTCTAAGGCTCTTTCCAAACTCCGTAAAGTTGAAATAAATCTGACCTACTAAATATAAATCCACATAACACACAGGATACATTGTTTGATGAAAATGAATAACAATAACACACATCTAATCTAAATCTTTAAAAATTCATGTTTTATGGGAGACTGAAATTTTTTAGGAAACTATTTAAAAATGCATCCAAAGGAAAGACTTAGAACAGACTAGAGAAAACTATAGCTGTCTGAATAGCAATGGTGTTAAACCTATTTCAAAAATCTAGCAGTCCCCTAGGAAGGAAGATGGATTTCATGGAAGAAGCACAGGCTGGGAACACTCTGGCAGTGTGAAGTTGGAGGGATTTGCCAGCTGCCATCACCCTCAGCAGTGCTCTCAATACCTTTTCAGTCCATCATTTTAATTTTATGGGATTATGGTTTAGGTGGCCTCACAGCAGAATTTCTTTAGCAAATCTATCAAATCAAAGGTAGATATGTCACTGAGGGGCTCCTGACAGGGGAAAATAGAAAGTGTGTAGCAGCAAACGGCGGTAAGACTGATATGTTTACTTTCACATTTAGGAAAAGTGCATCTAACACAGATGTTACATTACTCATATCCTTTGGACTTGAAAATAGATAGAAGCCTTCATGAACAGCAACATTCAGCTTTATGTTTTTCTATCTGTCCTGGTAAATGACTCATTCAAGATCACTGTTATCCAACCTTCTTCATTTGCCCTTGAAGAGCAGAAGTGACACTTCTTTGGCGTTTCTTACAACATGGAACATGATGACAGCAGTAAGACAGAGTTTTATTAAATTTATCCTGGATTATTAAAGTAAGGGAAAAGAGGTAAAGGGTGCTTCTTAGTTTTTTAGGTTGCTGTTCCTTCTTGCGAACATTCCATGTATGAGACTTCTGATTTGTCAAAGCTCATTAGTTGGGTGTGACCTTATGTTTTCATTCACAATCCACAAAGGCTTACCCTAAATTGCAAGCTATTTCAGTAGAAATAAAAGAAAACAAAACGAAACGAAAAAACTGAGAGAGGCTGGCTGGCATTGAAAGTACTGGCAGAGAGAAGCAGTAATCTGTTGGTAATTCTATAAGGTTTCCGTGTTGATTACTATTTGGGCAGTGTCCACATGCCTGATGAGTTCACACACTCACAGCTGCCTGGGAGCAAGACAATATCTACATAAAGCGGACCAGGATTATCCAAACAATTAAAAGAGCTGGTTACTGCTAATGCTATTGTCAATGATCTTCTACAAGAATTTCAATTAAATGAAAATCACATGCCAGCCCTCAGAGACCATCTGGTGCAGTGAGGGAAGGGCCCCTCACCCAGAGTCAGGGAGCCAGGTTCCAGCTCTGGCACTGCCAACATCTAGCTGTGAAAAACAATGTTCAGCGGGCACGTGCCCAGGCAGAAGCAAGGGGCTTTAGACTCAGAAAGAAGGACCTGATGCTTCCATAACCCAAAGAAAATGAGAAAAATAAAATTCCTCTTAGAGAACAGACCTATCAGGAAGGACAGAAAATAAGTTCAGGTCCAATGAAAAACCTGCTGAGAATGGAGCCAAGTGAGGTAATAACTCTCCTATTGTGCCTACAGTGTGACAAGCACTCTTGTTAAAAAGTTATTTATATATTTGAAGATGAAGTGAGTTAACCGGTGATTCATTTACATCCCTCAGTAGTTGCTGTGTTGCAATGTCAGGGGGCCAAGCACTTTTCATTTATGATTTTTAATTTAGCAAACAAGGTTTAGCTGGAAAGTATAGTTATGTTCTATTGAGGGAACTGAGACTTTGAGAGATAGAGTTACTTGGGACCTGGCCGTTGGCACATGGTACCTTTTCTCCTCTGTTATTAGAGATGTGGGCAAGGCTCTAGGTGACTTGGGACTCTGGGCTACCTAGACTTGGGGCACTTCCTATATTCTACATAGTCTGGGATGTTCTCTTGATGGCAAAAGTACTTCTTAGTCTTTATATAGCTTGCAGTGAGAAAGGGATAAAACAAGAAAGAAAAAGAGGGAGAAAAGGAGACATGTGAGAGAAGAGGGTAAAGAAAAACTGAAAAGGAAAAAGAAAAAAAATTAAAAGGGAAGAAATAAAAGAACTAAGTAGGGTTATTATAATTAAAGGGAACCGGATAAAGACTTTTTTTTTTTATGAGAATAAAATGTCTTTTCCCATGTCATGACCCTAAAAACAGCCTGATTTCTCCAGATTTGACAACTGCTTGAAAGGGAGCTTCAGAACAAGAGCAGAGACTTTGTCAGGTCAAGGAAATGCAAACCTTGCAGAAGCATTCCACCCTGCAGATTTTTAAAGGGGTAGATCTACTTTTTGCATTTATTTTGACAAATTTAGGTTTTAACTATAATATTTTATAATGTTTACACCAGATGCATATATAAAATAAGTGCTTAATAATAAGGGGCCACAGAATAATTCTAGCACATTAAATTATTTGCGAAGAAGTCAGATGGGCATGGCCGTTGTGAATGTCTCTGATTATCTTCTGTTAGTCATTAGTTTATTCACAAAGACTTACAAACATAAGATGTGAATGCAAAAATGTAAAAGAGTAGTTACAACTGTAATAATTGTAACTAGTATTTACTAATCTCTTCTTTAATAACACATCCTTCCTTTATTAATCTACTTAAAATTGCCCTCCTAACATTCTCTCCTCTATCCCCATTTTTCCTTTCTTTTCCTGGATTATTAAAACTTAAAAAACCTATTATATTGAATTAACGTTGCATCATGTTAAATAAGTTTAGGTGTGAATCATTGTAAATTAACCTATGTAGATATACATTAAGCTCACCACCCAAGTCCAACTCTATTCTCCCACTATTATTTTTTTCAATAGCACTTATAATTACTATAAAATCTCATCTTATGATAGTGTCTGTCTCCCTGGGACCAGTATTGCTGTTTTTTTCACTGCTGTATCTCCAATACAGGTTCAAGCCTCACACATAATCAGTATTAGTTGAATGGATGCATGAGTAAATGACCAATACTTTTCAAGATATGTGTTTTTACTTACATTCAGTATCTTGAATTTAAGGTAGAAAGTGTGGTTTAGAAAGACTGAGTTTGTTGCCCAAAGTCCCACAGGTAGGAAGTACCAGGTCAGAGTTTAAGCCAGTCCTCTCCATTAAGTATTCCAAAACTCATCTCCTCAGTTAGCAGGAAGGGCACGGAGCAGGTTCTCTATGATTCGAGCAGATGGGGTAAAGGAGGAGTCCTGGAGCCCTCAGTGGCTTCAGGCTTTTATTGGGATTTACCAGGTACACAGCTGGCAAGGCGTGCCAGGGGGCTGGGAACCTCCAGCCTGCCAGCCTCCCAGCAAGTCTTCACTCTTTCTGGGCTCTCTGGCGTTCTCTCGCTTCTTGTTCTCTGCTCCTCTCATGGTTCTGTTTCTGTTGGCCAACCTTATAAGCTCAGTCTCTCAGCCCAGGTGTACCCACTTTCGCTAGCCCAAACCCCACTCCAGGTTCCCACCATCAAGCATGAATTCAGGACCACAAGGATCCACCACCAATCCCATTGGCGGGAGGGCAGAAAAACCTGATTCTTTACTTACCCTACAGCAAGTAAGGAACTGTGCCCGCTTGATTGCTTCCCTGGGTGGAATGTAATAATTAGAGCACCTAAAAGACTTTGTAAACTTTACTTTTATTTATTTATTTTACCCTTTAAAAGGACAGGTTTGCTAGGAAAAGGAGAAAGAAAAAGGCACCTGCATAGTCACAGGCAGGCAGGAGAGCTGCCACTGCTGCCTTGCAAAGGGAAAAAGCTTGTGAAAAGAAACACCTGCATAGTCACAGGAGTGCAGGAGAGCTGCCTCTTGCCAGTGCAGAGAACTTGTAAACTTTAAAGTGCTTTACAAGCAAGTAAAAAACATTTTCTTCAAGAGATTTGTATTCACATTGAATGGAGGCAGCATGCAGAATTGAAATGATGCCGTTTTAAGAGGCATTGCTTTATACTATTATGCATATACAACAATTGACTTTGGAATATGATTTTAGGTAGTAAGAATGAAGAACAGGAGCAATGACCATGAGTAGGGTGGGAATCAACACAAATTGATTCTTACCAATCGGCCACCATTGTGGAATACTGATGCTCAATCCTAGAAGGACTTTCTCAGAAGTCTGCTAAAAGAGGTTCACGGTTGTCCATGCAGGGGAAGAAACAGGAGAACATTTGTCTACCTGCTCCCATCCTCTGGGTGATGACCCTCTCCACGGGGCACTGCCTTGTCACTCCCAAATTGTCTTAGCACAGTATTGGCAGTTCTCAGGTGGTGGCACCAGGTTTCACTGCACCTCCCTGAAGTTAGTCCAAGTCTGTGTGGCACTGGGTGTTGTAATAGGGACTGGAATAAGAAGACCAAGAAGATCCGGGATGTTGCACAAGAGGCATCTGAAACTGTTTCTAAACACAGAATCATGGGTGAAAGTCACAGAATGGAGAAAAGGACCATCTTGATGAGGAAAGAATGTGAGAATATAACCTAAGAGGATTCACAGGGAATCTGAGGCAGGAGGAAGTCAAGATGGGGAAGGGAAAGGGGTCGGGATCCCTGCACACCTTTGTCACCCTGAGGGCCTTAATCACACCTGCTATCTGGGACCATCTGTGTCTGTCCTCACTTCAGGGAATTTATACATATTTGCATTTTTTATTTGTTAGGCATGCCTATATCCTGTGAAGAGAATTTTTGGATGGGGATATAATTAAGCAATTATACAAATAGTGTTACTAGTAGAAGCCTTAGGAAAGATGAAATAATTAAGAAAGATGATGAAAGATAATAAAGGAGATCAGTGTAAAACTTTTGGATACAGGAAGGCGAGAAGTCACTGAATATACACAGAGAATTCAGCCAGCTGTCAGGACAGAAAGCTGCGGCCCAGAGGTGGAGACTGGTTTGAAAGGCGGGAGTGAGTGGAAGGAAGTGAACTCAGCAAGTTTGGTGGAAACAAGAGGAATAGAGCAGATGCTGGAGGGGACAGTGTGGTTACAGGAATGCTATTTCTGTGTGGAAGGAAAGAAGAATGTTTAATATACTTAGACCCAATGAAAGGAGTGGCTAGAGAGTATAAATACCGGGAGCCATATTGTGGTAAAATTATAGGGGAATAAAATGGGTGATGAGAAGACTTAGATACACTTTTATCTTTAAAACAGGAAGAAAAGGAAATGGGTGAGGACACTTATTTTGATGTGGAGAGAACTGAAGTGTGACTTCAATTTTATCAGGGGAGTTGGGGGCCAAATCTCTCCCTGCACTGTGTGTGTGTGTGTGTGTGTGTGTGTGTGTGTTGGGGTGGGGGCTTTGGGCAGAGGGACAAGGCAAAAAGGAACTGGTAGCAATGGCAAAGGGGAAGTTTGGACTTGGAGGTCTGGCTATTAAATGATTGAGGTGGTGATGTCCATATGGCTGAGGTAGGGAGCCCTAAGTTGGGAATTGGCAAAGTAAGGAGGGTGTCCCCACCTGAATTTCTTTTTTTTTTTCAATTCCTATAACTTTATTTATTTATTTTTTAATTTAAATTTTATTTTTATATTCCCCATACAATTACAACCCCCTTATTTTTACCCCAAGCCCTCCTTTCCCCGCCCCTCACCCCCCATAGAGTGTCTCTTGTTCATAGTTATTTGTTGATTTTAATATTTTCTTTCTTATAGTTATTCTTTATCCTGGTCCCTTATTTAAGTTTTCTAGATTCCTGCTATGAGTGAGACCATCCGGTATTTTTCTTTTTCTTTCTCCCCACCTGAATTTCAAAGTGAGGGATAAAGTGAAGATAAAAACATTAGTAATAAATTAATGTTAATTAATAAAAAGATAGAACAGAGTGTTAGAGAGGATTACAGGGAGGATTGGGTATAGAGTCAGTGTGAAAGCTAGACCTCAGATCAGAAAATGTTTCTAAGTGACGATGGAGAATAATGGCATTTCTGCAAGTTTAATTGCTTTCTTTTTTGTCCTTTATGTCTCTTTGGCACCTCATTGCTATGAATTGACTGTTTTTCTATTTCTATGGCACTTTTTTCCTCTTAATTTTCTCCATTTAAAAACATTTTTAGGGCCTCCCCGGTGGCGCAGCGGTTGAGCACTGGGTTGCGAAGCTGCCCGCAGCCTCTGTGGCGCCGGTTCGATCCCCGGCTGCTCCCCGGCCACTGGAGGAGGGTCCCACATGGCGCGCAGACCTCTCCTGCCACCCGCTGCTCCCCTCAGCAGTGTACTTCGGTCCTTCTGCCTGCTCTGCTCCCCGCTCTGGCTCTGGTGAATTCTCTCACCCTCCCGCGCTTCTGACTGTACCCAGTGCATGTATAAACAAAACAAACAAACAAATAAATAAATAAATAAAGCATGCCTCTATAAAAAAAAAAAAAAATAAAAAAAAAATAAAAACATTTTTAAAGCAGTTTTAGGTTCACAGCAAAATCAAGAAAGTATAGAATTTCCCCACACCCCGCCTACCCCCAAACATGCATCCCCCCCTCACCAACATTAACAACATCCTCACCAGAATGGTACATTGTCCCAATCTATGCTTGCACTGATAAATCATTATCACTCACAGTTCAGAGTTTATCTTAGGGTTCATTTTTGGTAGCATACATTCGATGGGTTTGGACAGATGAGTAAAGGCACGTGTCCGCTATTATGGCCTCCAGAGTACTTTCACTGCCCTAAAAATCTTCTGTATGGCATATATCTTTATTCCAAGAATTTGATTCCTGCTTTGGCAGCAAAAGTCACCTTCCTTACCCTTGAGAAAGAGTGTGGTGCCTAAGGAGGCCAGTTCTGACCGCCAGAAGGGAGCACACAGTATGCACCAGCCTACGGAGGGGACAGTCTGTTATGGAGGCCAAGCGCCCCAACTGAAGCTGGTGTGTGAGTGACTGGCATGTCTTTATGGGTCAGGTGGGGCTAACCTTGTTGTGTGCCCTCCCTGGCAGAGCAGAATATAACACTGGGGAGAAATAGGCCAACACTAAAGAAGGTGGAAGGGCAAGGGAGGTGTTGAGCAGCACCCGTTCCAAGCTGGAGTCCTGCCAGGAAGATCACCTTTAGACAAGGGCGAATCAAAGCAAGCGGAAGAGCTCAGGCAGCAAGGGGACAGGGTGAGGATGGACAGTGTTGGAAGAGGGTACTTCAGCCAGCCAGGCTGCCTCACCTGCTTCGCTTTGTTTTATTTGGCTGTGAACTTCTGATTATTTTAAATATTAATATTCAATTTGTAAAGGACACATTTTTAATCCCTTTAGATTTATCTTAAAACTTTTTAAAATTTTAAAAAAATAATCTTACACCAACTGGAAATTGTAATAGTACAGCCAATTCCCATTAACCTTTACCAGTTTCACCAATTTCTAAGTTTCCCACACTTTACACATAAGTATTCTAAGAAAATATTCCATCAAACTAGTATTGTTAGTGGGTAGGGTGAGGTACCCCAAGACCCCCAAACCTGCCTACTCTATATGGGTTCTGCCATCCATCACATAAAGGCAAAACATAATCTAAGTGCATAAGACTTTCTCTTTTTTTTTTTAAAGATTTATTTTTACTTATGCATACAAGAAATAGGGTGTAGACCAGAGGTGCAGGGGGTGAGAGGATTCACCAGAGACAGAGTGGGGAACAGAATAGGAAGATCTCCTGAAATACACTGCTGAGGGGAGCAGCAGGCAAGAGAGTAGAGGTCTGCTGCATCATGAGGTCTGCTGCATCATGTGGGTAGCTCCCTGGCTGGGGATGGAACTCAGGCCATGTCCGTGATAGTGCTGAACCTAACCCCTGAGCCACCAGGGAGGTCCCTGCATAAGACTTTATTTTTTTTTTTAAATATATATTTATTTATTTATACAGGCACTGGGTACAGTCAGAAGCGCGGGAGGGTGAGAGAATTCACCAGAGCCAGAGCGGGGAGCAGAGCAGGCAGAAGGACCGAAGTACACTGCTGAGGGGAGCAGCGGGCGGCAGGAGAGGTCTGCGCGCACCAAGTGGGACCCTCCTCCAGTGGCCGGGGAGCAGCTGGGGATCGAACCGGCGCCGCAGAGGCTGCGGGCAGCTTCGCAACCCAGTGCTCAACCACTGTGCCACCGGGGAGGCCCCCCTGAATAAGACTTTCAATAGAAAAGTACGTTAATAGAATTAGTGTGCGATAGATAGTCAAGAGAGAATATCGCTAAAATAATTTCCAATGAAAACACCCAAAGCTACCCATTCCCTCCCCCCA